GAGGGCGCGCGCCACGCCGCGCCTCGGCCGCGGCGGGCGCCGCGCCATCCGAGCCAGGACCTGCGGTCGTCACAAACACGCCTGGGCTTCGGACCCCCAAAAAAGTCCCCTCCTGCCTCCTCCTCCTCCTCCTCCTCCTCCTCCCTCCTCCTCCTCCTCCCCCTCCCTCCTCCTCCTCCTCTTCCTCCTCCTCCCCCCCTCCTCCTCCCTGCCCTTCCCTTCTCCTCGCTTGCTCACCCCTCCTCCTCCTCCGCCTCCTCCTCCTCCTCCTCTCCTCCTCCTCTCCTCCTCCTCTCCCCTCCTCCTCCCCCCTCCTCCTCTCCCCTTCCTTCTCCCCGTGCTCCCCTCCTCCTCCTCTCCTCCTCATCTTCCTCTTCCTCCTCCTGTCCTCGTCCTCCTCCCCATTCCTGCCCCTGCTCTTCGTCCTTATTGCTGCTGTGTTTCTCCTGCCTCTCATCGCATCGCTTCTGCTTACTCCCTCCTCCCCCGCTTCTCCTCAGCCTCGTGTCGTCCCTGCTCACGACTTACTTCCTCCACCCTCCCTGCTCATTCCCCCCTCATTGCTTCCCCCCCCACGTCCCTTCACCTCCCATCCCGCCCCCTGCCCTCCCTGCCCACTGCCCTTCACCTCCCTGCTTCCCGTCCCGTGCTCTGCCCTCCCCTCGTCATGCCCCCCTCCCTCCCCCCTTCGGGGCCCTCTCTTTTTCTCCAGAGCGCTCGCGGGCAACTAGTTTGCAATATATGGGCTCGTAATCTCGCAATCTCCCCAGACCCTCGACGCCGTGATTTTTTCACAACGTCGACCCCCAGACGTCTGGACCCCTTCCCCGGGACCGGTTTTTCCTCCTGCGTCCTTTTTTGACGCTCCCGGAGCCTGGCAAGGGCCACCTGAGGCCGAAAATAGCGAACAACCTCCCGTTGTGATGTCTCCAAGCTTTTCCTCCTGAGTCGTTGTTGGACGTTCCCGGGGCCTGGCAAGGGCCCCCTGAAGCCGAAAGTAGCGAGAAATGCCTCCCGCTGCGATGTGCTCACAACTCGAGGGGGGGAGAGCATGCTACGCATGGAATGAATTCAATGAAAATAAATTGCAGTGGATCCGTGAGTGGATCAATCTAGATTAATGAGGCCATGATGCCTCCTTTGAAAAACACAGAAAAAAACGATCACTGTTCCATTCTCCGCGTCTTCTCTGTGCTCAGCTCTATTGACTAACCCTGACGTCCAAGGTTGCGCATAAAAAACAGCATGGTGAAAAATCCCAACCAAACAACAGCATGGCGAAAAACCTCCCGCTGCGATGTTCTCACAACTCGAGGGGGGGGGTCTGGCCGACTAGACGTCATGAGTGACCTTTCGCCGGAGTGACCTGCGGTCGCTCTTACGTGTAAGTAGCCGATCCGGGCCTCTCTCTCCATCTCTCTCTCTCTCTCTCTCTCTCCGTCTCTCTCTCCGTCTCTCTCTCTCTCTCTCTCTCCGTCTCTCCGTCTCTCTCTCTCTCTCTCTCTCCGTCTCTCTCTCTCTCTCTCCTTCTCTCTCTCTCTCTCTCTCTCTCTCTCCAATCCGGGCCTCTCTCTCCGTCTCTCTCTCTCTCTCTCGCTCGCTGCCCCCGCGGCTCTGCCACGGCGCGGCGGCCGGGCGGCCACCGCCTGCCCGCCGGGCGGCCCACGCCCGCACCGAGGCGGCTGCGAAGCGCCCGGGCTCGCTTGTATCTCGGGGGTGGACAGAACCCCCAACAGTGACACGTCGATTAGTGAATTGTCCGTTTTCGGTTCTCGAGAGGGCGCCGTGGCCGTTATTTTCCAGGTTTGCGCCCGCCAGGTTTGGGCCTCAGGTCGTTTTCACTAAACCACGTTTTACTAAAGGGGGGTCTGACCATCCCCGAGTATCGGAGGTTGATGGACCTCCTACCCCAGGGCGCGTTTCGATTCCTCCGATTCGATTCGATTCGACTTCGATGGATTCCGATTCCGATTCGGTTCGATTTCGGATTCCGATCTGGGGGTCCGATTTCTGATTGGAGGCACACCAGCCTGCCGATTTCCGCCGACTGTCGGTTGCCGATCCGATTTATCGATTCGATTCTGGGCTCTCCTGCTACCCTGACACGTCGATTAAGGAATTGGCCGTTTTCGGTTCGCGAGAGGGCGTCGCGGCCGTCATTTTTGCGGTTCCAGGTCCGTCGGTTTCGGTCCCAGGCCGCTTTCACTAAGGGGAGGTTTACTAAAGGGAGGGTTGTAGGCCCACCAGAGAATGTTCGAAGAGCCGTTCGTGGTCTGCACGAAGTGTTCCCAGGACATTTCTGGCTGAGACTGTCCTGTGTGAGCACATCGGGTTGATGTTCTAAAGACCTTGTTTTTTGTTCTAAGAACATGTTGGGGTTCTAAGAACATCTCGTGGTAGGACGGTCGGCCCCTGCTCAACGCACCGCCCCATGCTTTCTTCGCTCGTCACCAGCGGGCACAGCCCGGTCGAGGCTCGCCCAGCCAGCATCTTGCCGTTGCGGCGCCAACAGCTCCTCCTCCTCCTCCTCCTCCTTCTCCTCCCCCTCCCCCTCCCCCTCCCCCTCCCCGCCTGCGAAGAAGAGAAATATGTGTATATATATATATATATATATATATATATATAATAAGCACCTTGACCCTCCGCGCGGATTTCTCGGATCCGCGCTGGATCCCCCCAGCGGCGCCTCCAGCGCCGCCCCTGGCGCGCGCTCCGCGCGCCAGAGAGGGGGGCCCAGCGCAGATCCAAGAAACCCGCGCTGAGCGCCAAGAGTTTTTGTGTTTGTGCCGTTTTTCTCTTCTACACTGCCTTGCACTCCGCCCTGGAGACCTGGAGATCCAACGTGCTAGTTCGGCCTCCGGGGGCCCTCGCCGGGCCCCTTGGGGCCGTCGGCAAAAAGACTCAGGACGAAAGACCAGCCCCAGGCAAGTGGTCCAGACCTCCGGGGCCCGCGCATCGCAAAAGTTGGAGCGGCCAGACGTCTGGGGCGCCGCCGGGGCGCTTCGCCTCCGGCCAGGCCCTCATCAAGGCCCTTGTCCACGGCCCGCGCTCGCCGCCTGGCTCACGGTCCGCGGTCGTCGCCCGGGGCCCCGTGTGGTGTATGCGCCATGCCGTGCGCTCCGCCCTCTCCGCGCAGCGGCCCCGTGCCGAAGTCGCCCCTCCCCCCTGGGCGCGCCGCCCTCCGCACGGAGCTCGGCACCGAGCGCGCCCAAGTGGGCGCGGCTCGGCTCAAGTGGGCGCGGCTCTACCCGCAGCAGAGCCAGATGGACGCTCGCTCGCTCGGCACCAGCCGCCGCTCGGGGGCCGCGGGCCGTGTCGTGCCCACCGTGCCGTCCGCACGCGTCGCGGCTGTGCGCCCGGGGCCCGAGCGCGCGCAGCTTTGGCCGTGCGCTCTGCCTGCCCTGGCCTCGCGGGTGCCGCGCGCGCGGCGCTCGGACCCCCGCGGCGCCCGCAAGGACTCTTGCTCGAGTCGGCGTCTCTCTCTCCCTCTCTCCCTTTCTCCCTTTTTGTTGTTTGTTCTCTCTCTCTCTCTCTCTTTCTCTCCTCCCCCACACTCGCTTCCCCTCTCCCCCTCCCCCTTCCCTCCCCCTTCCCCCCCTCCGCCTTTTCCCCCTCCCCCTTCCCCACAGTCGCTCCCCCTGGTGCCTCCCCCACGGCCAGGACAGCAGCGGGAAGGATCACACCTGCATCACCTTCGAGCCGGACCTCAAGAGATTCGGCCCGCCCGGCGGGAGGAGGGGCATGAGCAGGAGCAGGAGGAGCAGGATGATGGGAGAGGGAGGAGGAAGAGGAGGAGGAGGAGGAGGAGGAGGAGGAGGAGGACCTGGAGGAGGAGGAGGAGGCGGAGGAGGCGGAGGAGGAGGAGGGGTGTGAGCAGGAGGAGCATGATGAGCACGATGGTGAAAGGAGGAGGAAGACGAGGAGGACCAGTTCCCGCGGCACCTCGGAGCCCAGAGTTGCGAAGATGTCTCGGGCGAGACGCGCCAGACCACCTCTCCGCGCGGCACCTCGGAGCCCAGAGTCGCGGAGATGTCCAAGGCGAGACGCGCTAGGCCACCTCTCGCGCGGCGCCTCGGAGCTCAGAGCCTCGAGGATACCTCGGACGAAGCGCCCCATCCCGGCCGGCTCGTAAACGAGCAGTGCGAGGCTGTCTCTGGCGAAGCGGCCCAGACCAGGAGGAGGACGAGGAGGAGAAGGAGGAGGAGGAGAAGGAGGAGGAGGAGGAGGAGGAGGGGAAGGAAAGGAGGAGGAGGAGGAGGAGGAGGGGAGTAGGTAGGAGTACGAGGCGGAGGAGGAGGAGGACGAGGAGGAGGAGGATGAGGAGGAGGAGGAGGAGGAGGATGAGGAGAGGGAGGAGGAGGAGGAGGAGGAGGAGGAGGAGGACAGTAGCATCAGGACACCACGAACTTCGCCCGATGGCATGGAGGAAGAAGAAGGAGGAGGAGGAGGAGGAGATGTAGGACCCCATGTTAGTTTGAGGATGTCTCTGTCGAGCGGCCTCTCGAGGAGAACGAGCTCTTGCCACAGCAGCACCCCGAGCTGCTCGGTTGTCTCTCGGCCTCGCTTGCGCGTGTGCATTTTTGTCGGCGAGGGCCACCGAGGAGCAGATTGGACCATCTAGTGAAAAAATAAGCGCACGAGGTCGAACAATGCACGGGGAATAGACGTCCGAGCGATGGCAAGGGTTGCGTGAAGGCAGTCATGCTTTCGGGAACCCCTCAGCGAGGAGCCTTTTTTGCTGGCCCTTTGAACTTCTGAGGGCCCCCTCTGGGTGCTTATGTGGGGCGCCGTGTTCTCTGAAGGCCTTCTGGGACCATGCTTAGGCCCTCCTGGGCTCCCTTGAGGCCTTGTGGGATTGGTCTTCGGGCGTCTTGGGGCCTTCTTGGATTGTCTTGGAGGCTGCATGGCTGCCGTAGCCAGTTTGGGTTCAGGTCTTCATCCAGTTGTCCACGCCCGTGTCTTGCTCCCGATTTGTCTGTGGTTGATTTGTTTCTGGGGCCATGGGCAAGAAGGTGGGCAAGAAGAAGGTGGCAGTCAAGACTGGCAGCAGCGCGCCAAAAGCGGCACAAGAGAAAGAAGAGCGCGTGGATCTACTCAACGATCTGGGTGATGCCACGCCGGATTTCAAGCGCGTACTGATCGAGTTGTTCGGCCGATTCGATGTCGATGCTGACAAGCTTCTGAATAAGGCCGAGCTCTTGGCTTTCAGTCGAACCGCCAACCCCACTGGTCGCGAGTTCACGACGACCGAGCTCGAGGAGATGTGTGAGCACTTTGACTGGAAAGGTCAGGGGCCAAACAGCGGCGGGCTCACGTTGCGCGGCTGGCTACAGATGTATGTGACGCAGACTGGTGGCGACGAGGAGGAAACGTGGAGAGACCTTCACCAGCTCGGCTATGATGGTCAGCTGCAGAAGCTGTCCGAAAAGAAAAAACGCACAAAGTGCGAGGCGCTGCAGTTAAAACTGGAGGCGCTGGTAGCCCTCGGCGAGGCCGCCGACGTCGAGGGCTTCGTGTCGAGCTTCGTCCCCGTGGACCTGGCGGAGGACGAGAGGACAGAGTTCGCGGAGAGACTGCGGAAGGACGACAACGCCGAGCTGAAGAGCATCGTCGCAGAGCTCAAATGGGCGACGAACGAAAGCGGGGCCGCCTGCGCCGACGCTGGCGCGTGCGCTGCCCGCGCGAGGTCGCCCGCAGGCGCCCTGGCCTCCCAGCGCAGCCTGCCGCGCCGGCGGCCTCCCGCGAGCCACCGCGTGAGGCCGCTGCGCCGTCTCACCCGGGACCCGTTTTCGATCGTCGCTCCGATGCTGCGCAACCGGCGAGGGCGTCGTGAAGATCAGGGGCCAGAAGTCCGAGGACGGCCCGATCATCCGCAGGGGCTCGGCGCCCTCGACCGCCTGCCCCCCCCCCACCCCTGGTCACTCTGCATCTTCGGGGAGCCTGTCCTGTCCGGTCACGGGTTCGACACGGATGCGACGCGCTCGACACGGATTCGACATGGATTCGACGTGGATCGTGGCGCGACGAGACAGACTAAAGGTCCACCGATGATGCAGCACAGCCCCTGGCGGAGCGCCACGGCTTGCGGCCCCGGGAGGCAGGGCTCGGCCTCTCCTCCTCGACCTCCCCCGGCCCCTCCTTGGCATCGCTCGGACGTGTGCCTTTCGCGCTGCTCGGCGAGGCCCAGCGAGGAGCATCCTGGATCATCTGGCAAACAGCCCAAAAAAACAGCAAACAACATGTATTATAGATTCTAATGTTACCAGATAGTTTATTGTTTCAAACAAAATCAACAAACATACACCCACCCACCCACACACCCACACAAAAAAAAAAAAAACTCACGAGACCGCACAATGCACGGGGAATGGACGCCCGAGCGACGGTCCGAACGGCGGTGGTATCGGGGGCCCTCGATGGGGGGGGGCCTCTCAGGGGGGCATCCTGGGGCCTCTCGGGATGTCTTCGGGCCGCCTTCGCCCCCGGGGCATCGGGGGCCCCTCTCGACGGCGTCTGGGGGCCATCTTGAGGCCTCGTTGGGCCATCCGACCATCCTGGACAATTCGGGCGGCATCTTGCGGCCTCTAGTCGGTGGAAGAACATCCAACCCGATCCCGATCATTGGCGTTTGCGAAACGGCCCCGGGCGTTCACTAGACAGCCCTGCCCTGTTCGGTTCCTCCCTCGGGTGCGTTTACGAAACGGCTTCGCTTGTCGGGGTGCTGCTCGTGTCGGCCTCCTGCGCTCTATGTACGGGGCACCTTGAGGAGGTCTTGGGCAATCTCGGGGGCTCTGGGGGTCCCAGGATTCCTAGTAGACTCGGGGGTGGACAGAACCCCCAACAGTGACACGTCGATTAGTGAATTGTCCGTTTTCGGTTCTCGAGAGGGCGCAGTGGCCGTTATTTTCCAGGCTTGCGCCCGCCAGGTTTGGGCCTCAGGTCGTTTTCACTAAACCGCGTTTTACTAAAGGGGGTTCTGTCCATCCCCGATAGACAGTACAATGGACAGGGCTGGAGAGACAAGAGACAAGCACAAACACACACACACACACAACGAGCACAAAGCAGCAGTCTCCAGAAGAATGTCACAGCCTGTCGCCCTCAAGTGGGCTGGCTGACCTTTCTTTTTCCGTCCCCATTGCCCGGTGCGGAGCGGATCGATCGTGAAGTGGCTTTCGTGAGGCAAGATGGTGAATGGCGTGCCGACTGTTAGACTTATCGGAAACTGGATTGCTCGTTCGGTTGTGGTAAGCAGTCAGCGCACCGCTGTATCGTGACTGCGATGCAGGTTCCTTGAGCCAAACAGCGCCACCCTTTGCCGACTCGAGATAAACAAGCTAAAGGGAAAGCCAGGTAGCGGACGATCTCCGAACATGGTGTGCGCCGAAGGTGGTGGGGGGCTCTCCGCAAAGTGCACGCGTAATCCCTCGTGGGCACCAGGTTCGTTCTGGCACGCCCCAGCCAGCTGCCATCTCGGGTGTTCTTGATTCCATCCGTGGATATCCAGTGGCAAGGCTCATGGCCCCTTGGAGAGTCTTGGGCAATCGCGGACAATGCTGGCGACATCTTTTGGACTGCAAGCGCACGTGCACATTACACGGCAGCGTCGATTCAATGCAAGGCATTTCATAAGATGCAAAGCAGCGCAGCACACGGCAAGTCAACGCAACGCGAGGTAATGCTCAGCAATATGCATAGCAGATAGACACCGCCTGTCCGTGCCACATGACAGTCGACCCACCTCGTGACAATGGCATTGGGAAAGATCGGGCGACGGGGATGATACGATCGGCGTCGGCCACACCAGAAGAACGTGTGCGTCCAATCGACGATGAGGAGGATCAGGAGGAGGAGGAGGAGGAAGGAATGAGGAAGAGGAGGAGGAAAGAATGATGATGAGGAGGAGGGGAAGGAGGAGGAGGAGGAGGAGGAAGAGGAGGAGGAGGGGGAGGGGAGGGGGAGGAGTAGGGGAGGAGGAGGAGGAGGAGGATGAGGAGGAGGAGGAGGAGGGGGGATGGAGGGGGGAGGAGGAGGAGGGAGAGAGAGAAGAGGGCACGGGGAGTAAGGGGGGCAGCGAGGGAGGAGCAGGAAGAGGCGGAGATGGAAGAGCAGCAGCAATAGCAGCAACAGCAGCGCTGAGGAGGGGGGAGGCATTGCAGAAGGATTGGAGGAAGGGGAGGCGGGGGGAGTGGGAGGGAGAGGAGATGATGAGGGATGACGATGAGGATGAAGGAAGCAAGGAAGAAGGAACGGACAGACAGAACGGATGGGGCAGGTGGGATCGGGCGGGGTTTGTCGGGGGGGGAGGTAGGAGGAGGAGGAGGAGGAGGAGGAGGAGGAGGAGGAGGAGGAGGAGGAGAAGGAGGAGGAGGAGGAGGCGGAGGCGGAGGCGGAGGCGGAGGAGGAGGTGGAGGAGGAGGAGGAGGAGGAGGAGGAGGCGGGGGAGGAGAGGTCGGAAGAGGAAGAAGCAGACGTGGTGGAGGAAGAGCAGGAGGAGGAGAAGGAGGAAACAGACCAGTGCAAACCCAAGACCCATCAACGATGTTGGAATACGCCCTCTCTTCTGCACAGGCCACTACAAGGTTTCATTTTCACTGAGGCATCTGACCCGCTGGGGGTCTATCGTGTAGAATCCTCACGCGTGCCGAAACATCATTCTCAGGATTGCAACGCCACGAGTTAGCCGGATTGTGAAGTTCTGACGAGTCTGAATCGTGCCAGAACATTTTTGGGGAGACTAGAATACCGCGAATCAACATAATTGTTGCGCAATGACAAGCATGCACCAGTCCAAAAACATTGCTTGTGCATTTGCCATGAGAACCAATGAAACTCTTGCAAATTTTGAGACGAATGCGCGCGGCGCCATGTCGAGAGCTGCAGTTTGAAGAGGAGCCGCCCTCAATCCGTGAAAGCCTTGCAAACTTTTAGAACGAATGAGCGCGGCGCTAAAGCGAGAGCCACATGTTGAAAACCATCTGCCCCTCAACTCACTCTTGCAACCTTTTTTTAAGACGAATGGGCGCAGCCACATTTTGAAAAACACCCGCCCTCAATCCGTGAAATGCTTGCAACATTTCAAGGCGAATGGGCGCGGCGCTAAGGCGAGAGCCACGTTTTGAGAACCACCCGCCCTCAATCCTTGAAATTCTTGCAAACTTTGAAGACGAATGCACGCGGCGCTAAAGCGAGAACCACATGTTGAACCCCCCCGCCCTCAATCCGTGAAATGTTTGCAAAAGTTTATCAAGACGAATGTGCGCGGCGCTACAGCGAGAGCCACATTTTGAAAAGGAGCCACCTTCAATCCGTGAAGCCCATACAAAGTTTTCGTGGCGAATGCACGCGGCGTTCAGGCGAGAGCCCCGTGTTGAAAACGGCCCGACCTCAATCCGTAAAACCCGTACTAATTGTTCAGACGAATGCACACGGCGCTAAGGCGATGCCCACATCTTGAAAACCGCCCGCCCTCAATCCGCGAAGTGCCTGCAAATTGTCAAGACGCATGCGCTTGCAAACTGTCAAAAACTTCAGGGCCACGAGCCGTGAGGACGTCTCGGGCGCAACGCCCGGCCCGCCCTTTCGACCAACCTCGGGGTGCGACTGGGAATGGAGGAGGAGGAGGAGGAGGAGGAGGAGGAAGAGGAGGAGGAGGAGGAGGAGGAAGAGGAGGAGGAGGAGTAGGAAGATGAGGAGGAGGAAAGGAAGTGGAGAGGAGAGGAGGAGGAGGAGGAGGCGCAGCAGAATGAGGGGCGGGAGGAGGAGCAGGAGGAGGGGGAGGAGGGAGGAGCAGCGGGAGGAGGCGGAAGGCGCCCGACATGTGCCGATCCTCCGATCGGACCGCTGCTCTCCCGGCGCGGGCTGCCCGCTGCCAGGCATGAGGCACTTGGAGGTTGACATCGTCGCTCTCATGACGAGGCGCCTCGTGAGCCTCCGCCGCACTCTGCCCACCTCTCTCTCTCGCGCGCGACGCTTGCTCCCATGATGCCGCCTCGAACTCTGCTCTGACCAGCTCGCTCGGAGGGCTCGGCTGCCGCAGTTTCGTTCCTTGAGACCTTGGCGTCGCCTTTTTGTTCGCAGCGGGCCCCCTCCTCCTCCTCCTCCTCCTCCTCCTCCTCCTCCTCCTCCTCCTCCTCCTCCTCCTCCTCCTCCTCCTCCTCCCCGTTCCCGACTCGCGTTCCACTGGAGGGCTCTCACGGAGGCAGAGAGGACCGCAGAAGCATCCCGCGTGGGGGCACGGGGAGCCCCGCACCGCCCGGTCCGGCAGCCGTTTCGCTGGCGACTCCTTCGCAGTGTACTCGGGAGTCGTGTTCTCGCCCCACTGCCGGCTGCACTTTTGGCCTGGACGGCCACGATCCCGGGCATCGATTGGACGTAAGAGTGACCTTTCGCCGGAGTGACCTCTGGTGATGGGCCCAAGGGGGTCCCCCGATCACCGAACGCGAGGCGGCAGTGGCGTCTTGCGCGCGGGTGTGTTGGCCCCCCCGCGGACCCCAAAAAGCCGCGCACCAGAGGTCACCGTTACCCAGGGTCACCCTGGCGTGTAGTTGATGGTGCAACGATGCACTCAGGTGCACCCTCGCCGTGCCCTCCTTAGCCGACCTCCCAC